CACTATGTCAGAGTCAAAGTACAGTGAGTCTGGCTGTGGCCAATCAGATCAATATAAGCTCAGAAGGCTTTACCACAGGTCAGGCACAAATAGTCCACATAAACATTTGGAGTGGAGAAGTCTCTAAATTTACACATCTCACATTTCTTTTGAGCTACTGCAATTCTGCTTTGTTCATAAAGCACAGTGCCTTCTTTGACGTGGGCACGCCATTCTGGACAGTCCTATGCCAAAGTTTCCTATGTCTCACAATCAATTCCAAAGTGCTTACGAGAGACATTGAGAATGTCCTTGTATCAGTTCTTCTAATTTCCATGTAAACATTTGCCTTGTGTAAGTTCTCCATAAAATAGTCTCTTAAGCAAACATACATTTGGCATTCAAACAACATGGCCAGCCCACTGGAATTGCACTCTTTGCAGTAGAGTTTCAATGCTTGACAGCTTAGCTCAAGAAAGGACTTCAGTGTCTAGTATCTTATCTTGCTAGGTGATCTTCAAAATCTTCCCAAGACAATTCAAATAGAAGCAATTTAGTTTCCTGACATGGCTCTGGTAGTCTGTCCAGGTTTCACAGGCGTATAACAATGAGGTCAGCACAAGAGCTCTGTAGACTTTCAGTTTGGTAGGCAGCCTAATATCTCTTTTCTCCCACACTTTCCTTCAGAGTCTTCCAAACATTGAGCTAGCTCTGGCATGCATGTGTCAACTTCATCATCTATGTGTACATCTCTGAAAAGTGCACTGTGCCAAGATAATTGAACTTATCCATAGCATTCAAAATTTCTCTATTTACTGTAATTTATGGTTCTGTGTATGAATGGTGTGGTGCTGACTGGTAGAGATCCTCTGTTTTCTTGGTGTTAATTGTTAGGCCAAAATTAACACCAGCAGTAGAGAATCAATGCATACTTTGTTGTATCTCAGAGGCTGCATTAAGTGCACAATCTTCTGAAAACAAAAAATCATGCACCAACTTTTCTACTAAAAAACAAAAAGTAGTTGTAAGGGACATATATCATGTTGTACATATAGTGAACATGTGTGACCAGATATATCCAGAAAGGACAACTTACTCTCAAACTGGAGGATCACTGATATCTTTTAGTGATGTCATTTTGCTGTTCTCTCTGGATCTGTTTCTCATTTGTTCTAACTTCCCCAAAGTATATCCCCAGAGTTATATATTATAGAGAAGAGTCACAAAGAAGAAAGAAGAAAAACAGCTAAGATGCCCAAAAATTCATGGAAAACAAAATCCAAGAAAAAAGCCAATAGTAAAACTCATGGCCTCAAATACACGAATGTCCAAAGTTTAGGCAACAAACAAAAGTAAATGGAGTCCTAAAAAGACAGTATGTTTGGCTTTGTAGGTATCACTGAGATTTAGTGGGATGAAACCCTTGACAGGACTCTGGCTCCTGATGGGTATGTGTTATTCAAAAGAAACAACATAGACAAAAGAAAATGGGGTGGAGTGGCCACATATATTAAGAAGGTATAATCATGTAGGAAATGCAGAAACTAGAGGAAGAAAGAATGATGGAAAATATTTGGGCAAAGGTCAATGGATGGAGAAACAGACATAATTTTGTCAATGGAGTTTACTATAGACCATCTGGATAAAAAGAGGAAATAGATGAGGAATTTAGAAAATAGATCACAAGCCTGGCAGTGAAACATGATAAAGTAGTAATGAAGGACTTCATTATCCAGACATCTGCTGAAGTTTACTCTCTGCCAAAGTAGAACAGCTGGTAACTTATTCACTTGCTTTAGTGATAATTTTATCTTTTAAAAGATGGAGAAACCAACATAGGGAAATTCTAACCTAGATTTGATTTTCACTAACAGGGAGGAACTGACCACTCTATCCTAGAGTTTGCAATCAAGAAGAAGAGAATATTGGGGAATAGAAGAGAATATCAGAGCATAGTATGACATGTACCCTAGCTTTTGGGAAAGCACATGTCAAAGAGTTGAAAGGAAAGATACTTAAGATTTCATTTACTAAAATGCTTTAGGAGAAATTCAGCCTAAGTGGAGGAATGTTAGATGCTCAAGAACAAAATTCTGAAGACACAAAGGGAAGTAATCCCAAGCAAAAGAAAAGTAGGATTTATCTGAAAAGGGTAATGTAGATACAGGGAACTCACCACCCAACTTAGATTCTGAAAAGAAATATGTAGAAGATAGAAGCAAGGTCAGATAAAAGAGAAGGAATATAACAGTGTGGTAAAGACCTGTAAAAGTAAAACTTAGAATGACCTAAAGCTGGTGAAAGAAACTAAGGACAAAAGAAAAAGATGTTGTTGTTATTGTTGTTGTTGTTGTTGTTATGTGTATAGCTATATTGGGGATTAAAGCTCATCCAAAGAAGGAATAATACTTCTGCTTAGAGTGGAGGGAAGATAACCAACAACAGAGAAAAGGCAGAGTTTATTTCTTCTCTCCTACAGAGAATATCCATTACACTGGAAATGACTGAACATAAATTACTAAGAGGAAGTTCATACCCAAGGTAAGTAAAGATATAATAAGAGAAGATCTGACTATCCTTAATGAATCCAGGTCACCTGGACCAAATAAACCACATCCTCAGATCCTGGAAAAAAAAAAACTGGCAAATTGCTGAGCCATTATCAGTGATATCTGTAACAAGGAAAGCAGTAGAGGTACCACAAAATGGAGAAAAGTGAATTCTGTCCCAATTTTCAAAAAAGGAAAGAAGACAGGGTCTGCAAACTATAGGCCAATGAGATTGATTATTAAAGAGATAGTTGATGATGGGAGCAGTGTTTACAAAGAGCTAGCATGTCTTCACCAAGAACTGACAATACCACATTAATCTTATTTCCTTTTCTGATAGGATTACTAAACCAATAGATGAAGGGAATGATGTGGACATGGTATATCTGGGTTTTTAACAAAGTTTTTAATAAGGTATCTCATCTTATTCTTGTGAAGAAGATGGGAAGATATGGATTAGACAATAAGAATAAAGTATATTCACAACTTCTTGGAAGATTGGACTCAGAGTAATTATTAATGATTCAATGGCAACATGGCAGGAAGTCTCCAATGCAGCAGCACCCCAGCATCTATACATGACCCTTTGTTGTTTAATATTTTCTTCAATGACTTGGAGAAAGATAGATAGACAGAGATATATGCTTATATATTGGCATGTATTTGTGCGCATGTGTTTATATAGAGAGTGAGTATATCTAAATATAGAGAATACAGTATCTATCTATCTATGGTACAGTATGTCCATCAGTTTTATAGAAAACATTAATCTGGGAAAGATAGCTGGGAAGGATGAGAGACAGTATTCAAAACTATCTTGACCAGCTAGAATATTGGGAATAATTTAATAAAATGAAATTCTAGAGGAATAAATGTGAAGTGTTATACCTTGGTGCAAAAAAAAAATCATTTCATAAATATAAGATCCAGTCTCAGATATTTACTGACCCTGAGCAACTTACTTAACCTCTCTGTCTCTGTCTGTCTCTGTCTCTGTCTCTCTCTGTCTCTGTCTTTCGCTGTGTCTCTGCGTCTGGCTCTCTCTTTCTCTCTCTCTCTCTCTCTCTCTCTCTTCTCTCTCACACACACACACACACACACACACACACTCTCATAGTGGATCCTCTCTATTAGCCCTTTGAATGAAATGAATGCAAACAGGACGGTAATTCATTTAATAAATACAATTTTATCTTAATATCAGCTTTTGTAGTCTATTTTGATATATATACTAGATAGATTTTAAATAAACAAAGATAATCATTAGAATGGATATGTGTTCTTCTGGGGTGGGAGAGAGAAAACAGTGAAATGACCGTCCTGGAGCAACCACTCTGGCTAGCTCAAAAACAAGGATCTACCCAGACACTCCTCTTCATACCAGAGTCTAGTGCTGATCTCACTGCTGCTCTGAGCTTAATTTCATAAGAACTGGCCTCCCTGGCTGGAGCAATCTAGGAGGCAATTGTAGTGTAGTGTAATACACTTGTAGTGTACTGTAGTGTATGTGTATGTACACTAAGTGTAGTGTATGTACACTTGCCTAAAAACCTGAGCGAGAAATTACTCATTTAGACTCCTACTCTATTCTAATCAGTATTAATTAATTTGATATGATTTCAAAGGAGTAGTAATTATAAGTTCCATATATTTGGGCCCCAGAGCTGTGAACTGCAGACTGTAAATTCACTTGTTTAATCACAGGAAGCTAACTAAGAACCTCTACCCTTTTTCCCCCTTGTTATGGTGACCAAGCCCAACTTGGTGGAAGTGATTTGATTGCATAGAAAATCCCCCAACTTATTTTTGTACTTCTGCACTTATGTCCAACATGAGCAGGTGATTATCTTATGACCACTTAGTCAATGGAGATGCCCTATGCTTCCCCCAGTCCAAGACACCCCCCCACCGATATACCATTATTTGGCTGATACATCATTTTTATCCCTTGAAGCAAGGTCTATCAACCAATGGGATTCTATATTTTGTGTAGCCCATCTAGAGTGTTCAGGTATCAAACCTTATAAAAATAAGGCCCTAGAGGAAGGTGGCATCTCAGATCATGAAGAAAATCTGAGGTCTAAAGGGGACCATGGACCCCTTTAATAAAGTGCCATTGGCTCAGAGCTCTGCCTTGGTGGTTTTCTTGCATATTGGACAATAAAAACCCCATGTCTGTTTGGGTTCACATTCTAGTGTTCATGAATTCCCATTTCCCCTCTGAATTCCTGAATTTCCTCTGAAAGACAACCTAAAATAAATATGACATCATAATAATGCAAAGGACATTTACTTAAAAGTACAGTTAAATACCAAGAAATTTGTATATATGTGTGTAATAGGCATCCCCACTACCAGTTTCCTGAAACTTTCTTAGTCCAGTTTGTACTACCTTTCTCCAGGCAATCAGCAAGTTCCTATCAAAGCAGCACAAGAGTCAGCTATCCTAGCTGACCACTCAGCCTTCTATACCTTTGATCCTGGCTTCTTGTGACTTCTCCTGGGCTAAGCTTCCTCTTCTGCTTCCTCTTTGATCTCTTCCTATACCTTCTTCTGCTGCTGGCTTCTCAAGCTTCCAATACCTCACCATCAGATGTTCTTGGTGGTCAATGACTCATCTTAACCTTTTGAGGAAAAATTCAATAAATCAACTTTTCTATCAGGTATAAACCCAAGAATCATTATGCAGTCTTCCCATAGTCCCCCAGGCAGCTTTTTTAATTTATGATTTTGTCAGACAGAACCCTTAAAATTCTAAAAATTGTCACATGCAAATAAGATAACGCACCACAACACCCTGTACCCATCATTACCTCAGTCAGTGCTCTGCCTTCAAACAAGTCTTCTCAGTATATTTATCAGGTCTTTATAAAAGTCTGTGTTTCTCCTTACCATTTTATCTGACAGACTATGCTTCTCAATCATTCCTTTTCTGCCCTTTTCAGTGAGCAAACTGAGAGAAATAATTTTCTCTCTTGTATTAATAACTCATTATTGAATCAGAACCAAGGTTTTCCCCCTTTTCTACTTCTCCATCCAGAAATCAACCAGTGTGGGAAATCCTTCTAAAAGACTTACCCAGCGCTGAGGTCTAATCAAAGACAGTAAAAGAAGTTCTAAGTTTGGGCTAATGTGAGGATTCCTGCTCATCATTTTTACTCAGACAGGTCTGGGAAAATGTGGATTCTACCTTTTGTCAAACTGGTGATATGGAAATTGACAAGTCTCTTTGACCAAGATTTGGGTGATCCAAGTCACATATTCCAAGACCTTCATTGTAATATAGCCCAGCCTTTCATTGTAATATTCATTTTCTCATTAACTATTAATCAATGAGGGTTGATTGCCACTCTGAGGAACACCTACTCTTCCAAGAGGATATGAACTGTGAGCCCATCACTACCAGGGGTCTTTTGTCTAAGAGAGATGGCCAAGTGACTATCCTTTTATTAACAAACATGTTGACATTATTAATAAAATTTTTAAATTACCCAGAAACTATGCATTTAGAGCCTTTTAAACATCATAAAACTACTCACATATGAGCAGGGTAGTATGTTATACTGGGGCAGTCTCAGACATTCATTGACTGTGTGACCTTGGGCAAATCACTTAACCCTGTTAGCATCAGTTTTTTCATCTGTAAAATTGCTGGAGAAGGAAATGACAAACCACTCCAGTATCTTTACCAAGAAAACCCCAAATGGGGTCACAAAGAGTCAGACACAAATGAACAGCAACAACAATTCAAGCGGTAAAGTTACTTCTCTTTGTGAGGTCCCCCTCTTTTTGCTGAGATCTAGTATTGATTAGAAAGATCAAATTTTGCTTTTGTTTTTGTTTTTCAGTCCAAAGCTGGACTGAATCTTCAACTTTCGCTTTCACTTTTCATGGCAGGCCAAATGGAAAAACTCATAGGAAGCATTTAAAGGATGCCCTGAAGTTTTGTTTTCTTTCTGCTGCAGCTATTTTGCCTCCTGAAGTGGTCTTGCTTAAACTTAGAAGACATTCTGAAATGCTGCCACTCTAAATAAGTATGGGTCACTTATTAAAAGGATTTGTTCTGCAAGGTTTGGATTCAAAGGGCTGCACTTGAGGACCTAGAGGGCCACATGTGGCCTCAAGGCTGCAGGTTCCCCACTCCTGTTCTAAACTCTTCCTTATTCTCCTGCTTGTGCCTATGTCGTAGTTTGTAGGCTCTTGCAGTCAGAAGATGCAGAACCCTGATGATGGCACCCAGATGAGTGTTCTTTTTTCATTAAACCTTATGTGAGTTAGATAAGATAGTGATGAGATAGCTATAGATAAGACAGCTTGATTTTACCTGGTTAGCATACTACCTCCCTGTATACATGTCATAGCAGGTTTTTCCAGAGCATGAAAAAGCAATTATAAGATTTACTAATTGTATTTTTGTGTGCAGCTCTGTCCCTGAGGCTACTGTTTATTTTCAATGCATTCATCCCTGATTAGAAATATTATCACAGGACAATATTTGATGAATCTGGATTTCTCTTGTGAGAAACAAATATGTGTACAAAATGTTTCCATTATTGAAATCTACAATCAAGAGAGACTTTCTTAGATTTAGGAATGGAAGTATAAATTACAACAAATTTTTTAATTTGTTTATTATTCCACTATAGAATTAAGCTATATGAATAATAATTCCAATAGGAAGCTAAGTTACTTGCTTTGTAAACCATAATTTTAAATTTATTTATATCTTCTTTTGTGGGCAAAGAATAAAACATATCACAGAGTCAAAGTAATTTGTTTGGCATTTAATATTGCTTTGCATTTCTATGATACTTTTCCTTCCTAGCAACTTAAAGTACTTTAAGGAGGTTAGATCAGTAATTCTTCGAGCGTAAGAGGTAAGGTGGGTAGGTGGCAAATATAATTTTTTTGGTTAGAAACCAGCCCAGTTTTTGCTAAGAAAATGGGATAGGTAATAAATTTGTACATTATTGAGCACATGCTTGATGCTTGCTGGAAATTAGAGCAGGTCTATACTTAGTCAATGACTTGGTTTCACATTTCTATAAGCATAGCTAAATATTTTCCAAAAAAATTTTTTTTTTTGCTTTTTAGTGAGGCAATTGGGATTAAGTGACTTGCCCAGGATTACACGGCTAGTAAGTGTCAAGTGCCTGAGGCCAGATTTGAATTCAGGTCCTCTTGACTCCAGGGCCAGTGCTCTATCCATTGCACCAGCTAGCTGCTCCTTTTGTTGTTGTTGTTGTTTTGGGTTTTTTTTTCTTTTTTGGTGAGGCATTTGGGGTTAAGTGACTTGCCCAGGGTCACAAAGCTAGTAAGCATCAAGTATCTGAGGCTGGATTTGAACTCAGATCCTCCTGACTGCAAGGCTGTAGCTATACACTGAGCTAATCAACTGAGAAAACTATAAGTAAAGAATGTTAAATCACTATATTGTTGGGTTTTGAAAACATTTCTAATCTCTAGGAATTAACATTAGCATGGTTGGCTTACTATATATCTACAGTTAATAAAATTTTACCTTCATATACTCATCTTTCTGGGAGGAACAAAGAAATAGTATAAAAGATCATTTAGAAAAGCATATGATAGGAAAAAATGGTGTGCCGGTCACATGCTAAGACAGAAGAATAACAGATATTGTCCTACTATTTGCTCAGCCAGTGTTGTACTGGTACTCATGAAATATAAGACCATTTACCTAAAAGTGTTGGACTTCGGCTAACTCTACTGTGTGACTCTGTATAAATCACTTAACCTTTCTGGTCTTCAGCATCTTCTTCTCTCTAATGAGAAGGTTGGACTCAATGACCTTGAAGGTTCTATTTGTTTCTAAATCTATGATCTAATGAGTGATGCTTTTTTGTGAGGATGTAGTAAAGTTTCTCAGTATCACAACAACAACCTTTACTCCCCATCAGTGCTGGTAGAGACACCACATTTAGACCCTAAAATCACAGTCATGCAACTGTGTTGACTGGGTACATTACAAATTTATGTTATCTGATCACAACTAGGCCCTTTCCTTAACAAGGTAATCCTTTTACTCCTCCTTACTTGATTCTCTATCCTGCTCCCCACAGCAGCGATTCCAAACTCTATCTTTTCTCATCAATTCTTCCACATCCCCCTTCCCTTCTCCTCAGGACCTTACTTCATATCTAATCAAGCTGTCTCTCTCCTTTTCTCAATGAAAAGGCTTGAGGAGAAATTAGGCTCTGAGAACCAGGGGTTCTTAGCTCTGGATTTTAGAGTACCTGGTTCATGGCCTGGAGAGGGCTAACTCCAAAGAATGGAGTCAGGCCTTTTCCACATTTGCTTGCTTATTATACAGAGACCCAAGGAAAAATCTCTTAAAGTTTAGATGTAAGTTTAATCTATATTATTAAAATTTTCTCTATCACACTAAGTCTAGAAATCAACAAAACAATAATTCAAGTTCTTATTTGTAGTTTATGCCAATTTCTGAGGTATAAATGTTCACACTAAAAATTTCATAATCAGTTGTTATAAGCCAGTAAGAGCTGGTTGGCCCTGTTTCTTCGTATCCAAGTAACAGTCAGAATACTAAATAAACCTGGTTACTGTGAGCTTCGGTTTCCTAATCTATAAAATGAAGCAATTGGAAGAGTTCTAAGATTCTTCCAGCTCTAATGTTGCACAATTATCTGATTTTCAAAATCTCAGTGGAAGAAAATTCTGTAATCCTGTGGAGGGTGTGGCAGGGATAGAAAATGAACATTCTCTTAAGATAGAAAAAGCTGAATTAATATGCAATCAACTTCTATTTTACTTAACTTTTCTTTCTGTTCCAAGTCCTTCCTTACCTGAAACCTAAATCCTTTGTTAAAGTGGTCTATAACTTCAATTTCTCTGCTCAGGGAAGATACAGAATACATTATCAATTCTTTTTTGCAGTGGTTAAACACATCTATTTGATATCTCATGTAAAAATTATTGATTTCAAATATTTTTAAGTGACATTATGCATAAATATTTTTGCAATACTTTAAACAATTAATAGCAAATGAATTATGAACTGTAGAAAAAACTACTATCATATAATACCCATCAGTTCCAAAATGTTGTCATTATTAGAGCAAGGCCATGTAGAATTGAGAAAGTGCTTCCTTTCATTTTTATTTCTTGATTCATTACAGTTCCATCCTTACACTAATCCCTTGCAATTGTCTAGAAAAAAATTGTATTTCCTATGGAAGTATTAAATGTGGGAATTATAGCAAAACATTCCCTGCTACTCCATCTTTTACATGGAGCTTTGTGCAAGATATTATGCCAGGTGCTGGTGAAAAAGATGAAAAATATCATAGCCTCCATCTTCAGGGAATTTACATTCTACTGGAGTGGAGTTGGAAATTGGATCTAGGATTTCATTTATATAAGGAACTCTTAAATCAGGAAACTCCCTCTTCAGTTCAGGGTGGCCACTTCTCTGCACTTTATAATCTTAGAGAATTAGCTAAAAATACTAAGAGGTTAAGTATCTGGCCCAGGATCACAGAGCCAAGACAATATATGTCAAAGACAGAAATTGAACCCAGGTTTTCCTTGCCCGGAGGACAGCATTCTATTCACTACTCCAGTGCTGACTTTGGGAGTGGGG